TAAACTTCAAAATAAAATTTATTCAATGTCCTAAGAATAAGACAGTAGCCGAAACCAGTTTGGCTCAGCGATAGAGCATCAGTCTGCGGACTGAAAGGTCCCAGGTTCAATTCCAGTCAAGGGCATGTACATTGGTTGTGGGCACATCCCCAGTAGGGGGTGTGCAGGAGGCAGCTGGTCGATGTTTCTCTCTTATCGACGTTTCTAGCTCTCTATCTCTCTCCCTTCCTCTCTGTAAAAAATCAATAAAATATATTAAAAAAAAAAAAAAAGAAGAAGAAGAAGACACTAATGTTATGTTAAGTAAATAAGAGCAGGTGGCCATAACCTATAAAGAAAGAAGTGCTGGGAACATAAAGTAATAACTGAAATATAAAAGTCAATGAAGGGCTGGAATACTAGTAAAAAGGTCAAGGAAACAAAGAGAAAAAAATAGGAATGGCAAAATGAAAGAAAAAACTTAAAACAGTGCACTGCTAGAGAAGCTCTAAGAGAAATTAAAAAACAAAAAACATAAAGGAATGCAGGGAACACAGAAGGGAAATAATAATAAAAGAAATATAGGAGATTTCTTTCCCAAAACTGAAGACATAAAAGTCTGCATTTTCAAAGGGTCCACCGTTTGAATGAATTACAGAATGAGCACACAAGGACTATAGCTTATTCCCTTTAATTTCATAATCCTATGGGGGGAAAAAGCTTCCAGAGAACAAAGCAGGCTACCTACAAAACATTCTTCATGCTAGTGCCAAGCCTCTCAGCAGTAAACTGGTTACTAAAATGTAATGGAATTCAACCTTCAAAATTCTGAAGAAAACTATTTGAAGCCTGACTTCTATACCCAGCCAAGGCATGTGCCAGGTGTGAAAGTGAAAAGGACATTCTCAAACATTGTGTGGACAACACGCACACGCACACACCCTTTCTGAAAAAATTACTTCAGGAAGTGCTCTAGAAAATTGCAAAATAAATCCAAAAAAAGGGGGTAGGGGAACATTTAAGAGAGCATAGAACTTGTCCAAGAATGCAATTAAATAGCATGATATCAGCTGATCATATCCATATAAAAAGGCAATTCACATTAGAACTTCAACCAATAGTATGATTTCAAAACTTGATAACTTAGTGATATTATAAAGGCATATACAATCTTCTACCAATAGCAGGGAAATTAGAAAATCCTGGGGGGGGGGGGGAAGTTATAGCCCAAACTAGAAGCCAAACTGAAGTATGACGTGACCTTGAGTACCAATCGCGTGTAAGAAGTCCACATGCTCTCCTATCACATGCATCCTACTACTTTGTTTATAGTTAATATTGTTTACATAGCATAACAGTGATTACTGCTTTTTGGAATCAAGCATAACTATTATACCGTTACGACATAAAATAAATATTACACTTAACAAACTGGAGAAGAAATGTGAGGAAATCGAGGTAAAGATTATAAGGGGTACTACTTTTTCTTAAGAAGTGGCAAGATAATGTCTAAGTAATTTATAGAATTGATGATACAATATGTTTAACTATAAAGGTCCCCCCCAAAAAAAGAAAAAATGAAGAGAATAAGAATTAAAAGTAAAGCTTCTCATTTTTTACAATGGGGATATACTAGATTACTTAAGATCAGTCAAGCCCTAACTGGTTTGGCTCAGTGGATAGAGCATTGGCCTTCAGACTGAAGGGTCCCAGGTTCAATTCCAGCCAAGGGCATATACCGTGGTTGTGGGCACATCCCCAGTAGGGCATGTGCAGGAGGCAGCTGACCAATGTTTCTCTCTCATCAATGTTTCTCTCTCATGGATGTTTCTAACTCTATCCCTCTTCCTTCCTCTCTGTAAAAATCAAAATATATTTTTTTTAAAAAAGATCAATCAAAAATAAAGCTTAACACATTATATATAAAATTGGGATAATCAGCAGAAGTAAAAAGGTCTGCCCAGCCTGCATGGCTCAATGGTTGAACACTGACCTATGAACTAGGAGGTCACGTTTGATTCCCAGACAGAACACATGTCCGGGTTGTGGGCTCCATCCCGTGTGGGTGTGCAGGAGGCAGCCCATCAATGATTCTCTCTCAACACTGATATTTCTATCTGTCTCTCCCTCTTCCTTCCTCTCTGAAGTCAATAAAAATACATTTTTTTAAAAACTAGAAAGGTCTAAAATGGTTATCTCTGAGGATAAGAACTAGTTGGAAGAGGTAGAGGGTAGAAAGAGTTTCACTTTGCATTTTATACTTTTGTGTATTATTCAAAGTCTTATGTTGATAAGACTACTTCCCCAAATTAATGCACGCAAGCATATACATACACACACACACACACACACACACACACACACATCACTAGAATTCTCTTTCCCTAACCAATGCAGGAAAAACACTGAGAAATTCTATTTTATTTTTTTCCCCTTTTTCTATATTCCCATATACTATATACCAACCTCTATAATGGTATTTCAGGGGAGACACAATTAATTAAACAGACCCAACAACCACTCTGAACCCTTGATAAAAGGTGGTGATGGCAACAGCTTCTATTTATGTTAAAAATTGCACCCACATCCATGACCTTATTTAAAAATACCTTCCTTCACATAGCAGTGAAATCTGAAAACACTTTCCAAATTTCTAAAATGAGAATAACATGAAAGACATTAAACTGAACACAAATGGTCGGCCGCTTTGAAAACAGTTTGGCCGTTTTGACAGAGTTAAACACAAACTTACCAAAGGACCCAGCAATCTCATTCCTAGGGTCACAGCCCAAGAAAAATGCATCACACAATCACACGCACACACATGTTCACAGCAGCTTTCTTCGTAATAGCCCCAAACTACAATAGAAACAGCCCACATGCCCAGCGAACGGTAAACACAAGCTGTGGAATACTACACAACAAGAAAGATGAACAAATTAATGAAAAACACAACTATATAAAGGAATCCTAAAAGCTCAGGCGGTGCACTTCCCAAACCCTGCTCTCACCCCATTATTCTCTCGCATTCATATTTTCATTACTGTGCTCAAGGGCCAGAGACCTCAAGTTTTATCCCTGGGGTCTCAGCCCCATCACCTTTTTGCAGACCCATCACCATGGTCACCAGAGTAACGGCTTCGTTGCCATGGTTACATACTCATTGCACGGCTCCCTAGCTCAGCCCCCAGCCTAAGCTGGGGTCCATCTGAGGGTATCCGCCACCATCTCCCCAGCCCAGGCCCTCAGGGATCCTAACAGCTCCTCCCCCAACCCCTCTCCAGGCCGTGATGCACAGCCTGCTGGCCTGGCCAGCCCTCTCCCTCCCTTCCTCAGGACGGTAAGGGGAGCACAGAGAAGGGAGCGCCCTGAGGGTGATGAGCATGGAGAGAGGACCAGGCCTCCAGCAGCCTGGCCAGTCTTTCCACTTTCACACTCAGCCCGCCTCCTTGCCCCTTCCGGCCCTCGGCTGTGGGTGCAGAGTCCGGGCTGGATGACTTTCAGTATTTGTAAGCATCTCAGCAGATCAATAAAGCATTTGGATTGTGGAGGGGAAAAAAGCATTAGGCAATGAGAAAGCAATCAGACTCAAAGGACTACATGCTGTATGATTCGACTTGTATGAAATTGCAAAATTATAGGAACAGCAGAGTGGTGGTTACCAAGGGAAGGCAGGAATTTTTTTGGGGGGTGATAGAAATGTTCTGTGTCATGATTATAGTGTCGGTTACACTCCTTTAAAAGTTTAGCTAAGTTCATAAAGGGCACACTTAAAATTGGTACATTTTATTATATGTAAATAACTCCATAAAGCTGATTTTTAAAAGCACAAAAATACATCATAATCGCATTTAACCATTGTCAACAGCTTCAGGCATAGGTATGAACCACAAACCCTCAAAAGAATATTAAAATCACACCTTAAAGGGCAATGTTTAACCAGAAAATGGCATCAATAACCGAAAAGTCCTGAGAGTGAAAGAGCCCTCAGCCTACTCGGATGCGGCCACGTGGATAAGCAGTGGTTGCCTAGCAACTAGCCCAAACTCTAGAATTCTAATAAACACGCTGACCACATTAGCAGAGGTGACCTCATAGAGGATAACATGCTTTACATTGCAGAGTTCTTCCTTTCATATTACAAAAGCACAATAATGCACTTGAATTATCTATCTAAAGTGGGAGCAAACACGAAATACTACAAGTAGATCATGAAAAACAAAACGTAAAATTAAACATAAACACACACACACACACACACACACACACACACACACACCCTTTCCTCCTGTGGTCTTCCAATCAGGATTTAACTTACCTACTCATGAGATGGTGAATCCAAGGGTTTGTGGATGACCCTCCCCCTTTATTCCTTTAATCCCTTCCCCTACCACCAACCAAACTGGCTTAATATAACTGGATTATTTGATTTATGCTTACATGTCTTAAAATACATACAAGCTAGACAACTTCTTTTGATATTAAGTCATTCTAAAGATTTCTCTCTTGTTATTTGTAGAGTCAGCAGGCAACACAAAAAAACATCACACCTATTTTCTGTAACATACATGCCCATAACATACCAGAAAGCCAAACTTGATTATCAATTATCAAAATAAAAGAATTACAGTCCGGCTGGCATGGCTCAGTGGTTGAGCATCCATCTATGAACCAGGAGGTTGTGGTTCGATTCCCAGGTTTCGGGCTGGATCCCCAGTGTGGGGCATGCAAGAGGCAGCAGATCAATGATTTTCTGTCATCATTGATGTTTCTCTCTCTCTCTCTCTCTCTTCCTCTTTGAAATAATCAATAAGTATATATATACATCTTTAAAAAGAACTACAAAGAATCCTTGAATAACAAGCAAACTCCTAACACATATGCTAACCATCATTTCTCTCTTACTGGACACAGCACATCAGTTTATCTGTTAACAGCATCAGGAAAAAAATCAACTACCAAGACACTGCTGAGTGCCAGCACACTTACCAGCAACGCGTCTGGCTTTGTGGGACACTTACCCCTCTTCTGAACCCAGCCTTCTTTCACAATGGTGACATCGCTCATGGTGGCTCCCCGCTGGCCCCCAACACGGAGAAATGGGAGTGTGTGATATCAGCTTTGGGGTTTTTATCTGCTGCTGCTGCCCTTCCCACTCTCTGGCGGTGACTCAGCCTGGAAGGAAGTATTGAAGAAAGAATGTCTTTTTTTTCCCCTTCCGTTCTTGGAGATCACACAGCAATAACAAACAACCGATTCTTTGTCGATGTCTTCAATGGGCCTGACCTTACAGAAAAGTCGAGCTCTTCGAACTGGGGGGCGCATTTATCAAACGGTTGTATAACCAACACACGTCCCTGGTCTCGTGATGGGTTTCCAATGAGAGTGGAACGCTTAGCCTAAGAGGCTGCAATAAAAAAATGTCCTTCAGAAAAACCGCTGTCACACCTACCCAGAGAACACAGAACATGTGTCTGCTGATGTGCGCTGGAGGCAAAAGGCAAGAGAACGAAAAGTTAAGTGGACTAAAAAGTAAATCTTCCATCTATGTCCAATTTCAAAAATCTCTGTCAATGTAAAAATAGTTATGGGAAAGCCATTGTGAATGTGTTGAATTGCCTTGTTTTATGTAAATTACCATGGTGCTACGAAACCAACATTTAGGTATGCTTAGTCTGCTTGGTTCCAAGAAATATTTTAGGTTGATTACAATAAGCAAAATATGACAAATACCAAATCAATTACTTTTAAAGTAGACAAAGTAACACAGGGAATATAAAAATATTTTTAAAAGTATGGAGCATTCAAGAGGCGCCAGGAACTCCTAGAGGCACTTAAACCTATTAGTCATATAGGTAATCTTCACAACCACCTTAGGAGGTACTATTAACCCCATTTCACAGATGGGAAAACTGAGATTCATGGAGGTTAAACAGCTTGCCCGATTTGAACACAAAATGATGGAGCCAAGGTGTCTGACTCCACAGCCTGCATTCTTAACTCCAAAACATGACCTTAAATCAGTGATTTTCAACTAGTGTGCTGCAAGGACTACTAAAACATGTAATAATAATAATAACACAGCCGAGACCGATTTGGTTCAGTGGATAGAGCGTCGGCTTGGGGACGGAAGGGACCCGGGTTCGATTCCGGTCAAGGGCATGTACCTTGGTTGTGGGCATATCCCCAGTAGGGGGTGTGCAAGGGGCAGCTGATCGATGACTCTCTCTTATCGATGTTTCTAACTCTCTATCTCTCTCACTTCCTCTCTGTACAAAATCAATAAAATATATTTAAAAATAATAATAATAATAATAATAACACAATATACAGATGAAGTATTATAGAATTGTATACCTGAAACCTACATAATACTATTAACCAATGTTACCTCAAGAAATTCAATTGAAACAAAACATCCAATACCTGACTATTTAGTCCAGGGCACTGACCTCTTTTCCCTTAGAATAGGGGTGTCGAACTCAATCAGAGAAGGGGCCAAAATCTAAAATCCAGCCTAAATCACGGGCCGAATGGTTTACTGAACAGTCATAAACTGTCAGTGTGATGGAAACGCAGCGGAGTGCAGTGATGACAGCGCGGTGCGGGCCACAATGCAAGGCCTGGCGGGACGGATTTGGCCCGCGGGCCTTGTGTTTGACACATGTGCCTTAGAATATCAAATAAAAAATTGACAACAGCCCTGGCCAGTTTGGCTCAGTGGATAGAGCGCTGGCCCACTGAAGGGTCCCGGGTTCGATTCAGGTCAAGGGCACGTACCTGGGTTTCAGGCTCAATCTCTGACCCTTGTCGCAGCACGTGTGGGAGGTAAACAATCAATGCGTCTCTCTCACATCAATGTTTCTCTCTCTCTGTCTCTCCCCCTCCCTTAAAATAAATAATAATAATAATAATTAATAATAATAATAATAATAATAATCACCAATACAATAGGTGCCCAGTGTGACAGAAAAATTATACAGCAGAATTTTAGGAATTCGCTTATACGTGCTGTGAAATGGAAAAGGTTGAAAATCGCTGCCCAGGAAGCCGGAGTAAAAACCTGTGCGTTTGTGGAGATGGCCACACAATTCAGCGTGAGCCTTCAGGGAGCCTTACAAATAAGGTAACACTACAGGTCTCAATACCTCCAGCACCCATCAGGACTTTCACAAAAAAAGGAAGCGGCTCAGAAGGAATATAATTCTTCCTGGGACTAAAAATCTGACATTTTTATCATGGGTCTTTACCAGACACCTTCTAGTGTAAAAAAAACAAAAAACACGAAGTTCCCAAAATATCCTCATGCACAAATAGCACTGCGTTTTACGTTTTACAGGGTGATGTCTTATTGTCCCTCTCAGCCTAAAAAGGGAAATACCGAGATAAAACGGAGTGAAAGCATTTCCCAGAAACGGGCCAAAAGTGTGGCCTGGGACACAGGCGTCAGTTTCAGATAACCAGCAAAGGGATGGACGGGCTGTCTCAGGGGCTTTCTCAAACTGCGTTTGGATCAATGGGCCTCGCGGGGAGTGAAGGAGAGAGAGACCCATTGGCCAGTGCTAGACTGGATTCCAGTTATTTCTCTGATGCAGATGAAGGGCACAGCCTAACCACTGAGCAGCCGGGAATCCAGACTCCAGACCCCACAGGCTGTGTAGCCGAAGCCAACGCCATGGCCATCCTACGCCCTGGGGCTGCCTCAGGACCTCCAGGCAGGGCCCAGTCTGTCCCCAAAAACGTCCGGCTTGCCGAAACCGGTTTGGCTCAGTGGATAGAGCATCGGTCTGCAGACTGAAGGGTCCCAGGTTCGATTCCGGTCAAGGGCATGTACCTTGGTTGCGGGCACATCCCCAGTGGGGGGGGTGCAGGAGGCAGCTCGTCAATGTTTCTCTCTCATCGATGTTTCTAGCTCTCTATCCCTCTCCCTTCCTCTCTGTAAAAAATCAGTAAGATATATATTTTTTTAAAAAAGCATCCGGCTCTCCTACTGTACAGAGTGCAAAGGGATAGTAGGATCTGGGGGGTACTTCCCCAAAATATGTTTGGCAGGATATTAAAAAGAAGTTCTAGAAATTTTTTTTTTTTAAAGAAAAATGGAAAAAGAAAAACCCTTTGGTCCAGTAAGTTGGGAAAATTCTCCGAACCATGTGTCTTTCTCTTGAAACATGAGGATAAACACAGTAAGCATCTCAGCAAACCCTCCATGTGTCTGAACGCACAGGGCTCTCTTTTTCTTTCTCTTCAGCAGCGGGTATTGGTGTCCAGAGGAGCCCGCGTTGGAAACGCCACAGGATGTGGCCACATCATTCAAGACGAGGCTCCTCTCACCATGAAAAGCAACAACAAACAGAGAAACCACAAACCCTTTAGTCAAGAATCCAAAGATCATTTTAATTTCGTGTATGAACCTTCTGGAAGCCCTCAACCTGGTCCACTGGCTACATGACACATACCGAGCTAAACCATTAAGAGGGTTAACTTTTTTTTTTAATTGATTTTTTTTACAGAGAAGAAGAGGGATAGAGAGTTAGAAACATCGATGAGAGAGAAACATTGATCAGCTGCCTCCTGCACACCCCCCACTGGGGATGTGCCCGCAACCAAGGTACATGCCCTTGACCGGAATCAAACCCGGGACCCATCAGTCCACAGGCCAATGCTCTATCCACTGAGCCACACCGGTTTCGGCAAGAGGGTTAACTCTTTACATAAATAATGGCAGAGAGGTAAATATTGGGAACTAAATGATGTCCTGTGTGGAGCTGCCCTGCAGGCCTTCCCTTTGGTTCTACTGTAGCAAGGGGCCTCACACCCATTACAGCAATTCTTGGCTTCTGACTATAAAATGATGGCACATGGGTAAAGGGAAACTCCTATCTGAATACTCTTAGGGTTAGAAATGGAAGAGGTCAGGGATCAATGCTTAGTAACAACCAAAAATAATCCATATCCAACAGACTTATTTAAAAGGTGGACTTCCCTATTTAAGTGATGCATTACCATACCCCTATTTAAAAAAAAAAAAAAAAAAAAAAAAACCAACAACAACAATAAAAAAACACTAGAAAAACAAAAGTATTGTCAAAATGGATTTTTTTTTTTTTAAGGTGGACATTTCATTGTAAGAATGTTAAAGCTGGAAGTGACCTTCGGTTGACAGTTGAGGGCAGACGAGGAAACTTGCCCAAGGTCACGGGCTTACTTCATGGAGGCCCAGCACAGAGCACAGGTGCATACTCTTTCTTTTTTTAATTTTTATTTATTTATTTATTTATTTTAAATATATTTTATTGATTTTTTTACAGAGAGGAAGGGAGAGGAATAGAAAGCTAGAAACATCATTGAGAGAGAAACATCGATCAGCTGCCTCTTGCACACCCGCTATTGGGGATGTGCCCGCAACCAAGGCACATGCCCTAGACCGGAATCGAACCCGGGACCTTTTAGTCCCCAGGCTGACGCTCTATCCACTGAGCCAAACGGGTTTCGACACAGGTGCATGCTCTTTCCAGCTGCACTGCCTCTCTAGGATAAAGCGAGAGGCTGAAATCTCCACATCAACCCAACGTCAGTGAATTCATTTTATAAAGAAACTGTTTCAAAAACTGGTATTTCAGTTTAAAAAAAAAATGTTCACTGGGGCTCATATATTTAAACTGTTAAAATCTATGTTAAATCAATAGGATAAAATTTATCACCTCTGTGAGGGGCAGTGACCCCACACATTATACGTGCCCTTGACCAGAGATAGCTTTATGCATTTGCATCTTTCAATGTGAACAGAGTCTACCCAATAACCATAACTTTCAGCCTTAAACATTGCTCCTGAGTATTGACTGAAATGACACATTCTCCGAACATAACTTAAAAGACATTCAAAGGTATCAATATGCTAGAAATAAATAAATGCTCGTTTGTGTATGAAAACGATGCTATTAACTCATAAGCAGCAAGCTATACGCTTTCGTTTTCCTGCAGTGACAACATTCCAGTACCTCATCATCTACCCTCTCTCCCTCAGTCTGTTAAAAATACTAATCTGCAGCTCTAGCTGGATTGGTTCAGTGGATAGAGCGTCGGCCCTCGGACTGAAGGGTCCCGGATTTGATTCCGCTCAAGGGCTTGTACCTCGGTCACATGCAGGAGGCAACATGGGCCTCTCTCATATCAAT